TCTCTCTCTCTCTCTCTCTCTCTCTTTCTTTCTCTCTCTCTCTCTCTCTCTCTCTCTCTCTCTCTCTCTCTCTCTCTCTCTCTCTCACCCAAACACAGACACACGCACATTAAAATTTAAAAGGGTTTAAGAAAAAAAGGAAAGAAAAACGAAATAGTGAGTGGGCAAGCACATTTTTGACATTGCCATCTTTGGCGATTTTTCATTTTTTTTCTGGATCAGCCAAATGCCCTGAAAATATATAGGCATGTACCCTACATGCTACAGAACTCACCAAAAACAAATTAAAAAAAAAAATATTTTTTAAGGCCCCAAACCAGGGAGGAGGAGGAGGAGGCAGAAGAAGAAGAAGATGACGAAGAAGAGGGAGGAGAAGAAGAAGAGGAGGAGGAGGAGGAGGAAGAAGAAAATGACGAAGAAGAGGGGAGAGAAGGAGGAGGAGGGAGAAGAAGAAGAAGAACGCAGCGGAGTTGAAGGCTTGAAGCAGCAACAAAAAAAAGACAAAATTCCGCTTGGAATCACTGACCAAACTGTAGAAGATTGGGAAAAATCAGTGAGTGGAAAAGGGACTCCCAGGCAACATAAAAAAATTAACGGCTATGGCTAATGGAGGAGGAGGAGGAGGGAGAAGAAGAAGAAGATGATGAAGAAGACGGAGGAGGAGGAGGAGGAGGAAGAAGAAAATGATGAAGAAGAGGGGAGAGAAGAAGAGGAGGAGGAGGAGGAGGAGGAGGAGAAGAAGAAGAAGAAGAAGAAGAAGAAGAAGAAGAAGAAGAAGAAGAAGAACGCAAGCCGATGGCTAAGAGAGAGACTAGAAGAGGAGGAGGAGGAAGTAGAAGAAGAAGAAGAAGCGGAGGATGCCTATGGCTAACGGGCGAGGAGAGTGACCACGGAGAAGAAGAAGAAGAAGAAAAAACAAACCTGGGGGAGTGATGGAGTGGCTCGTCGGCGGGGGGCGCGATGGTGCGGCTGGCTAGCGGAGGCGATGATGGCGATGATGCACCCCGCGGAGTCCTAGCGACGATGGCACAGCTGCACTGAGTGATGGCACCGCTGGCTGGCGGTGGCGACGATGGTGCGGTTGGCTGTCCGCCGCGACGACGGAGCGGCTGCACAGACTGGAGGTGAGTGGGGTTGAACGCGCGATGTGTTTTCCCCCGCTGCGCGATTCGGTTTCCCTCCAGAAGTGATTCAAAACAGTGGCTGATCTTTGCCGCTGATCTGTGACGATCGGCGGCCAAGATTGCCCACTTTTTGGACTTTGAAAATCGGGGCTTGCAGGACCCTGTTTCATAATTGCAGGGCAGGGCCCGCCCCCACGAGGCCTCCGCAACACAATCGCGCCGCCAAAAAAAATTCAAGCCTCAGCAAAAATGCGCTGGGGGCGACTGGGAGGGAACTGGCCCGGGCCACCGACCGGTCCAACCGGGAGGACTGTGGATGGGGTAGGGGTCCCCGGTCCATCGGGGGACAAGCCCTGCCCCAAACTGATTTTTGGAGGAGGGCAAATTTTGGGAAGTTCGGCCCCCTCACGTTCTGCCGGACACCCGAACGTTTCCCGGAGGGGGGGGAGACCCCCTTGAACGTTCGGGCGGGTAACCCTGGTTGCCATGGTAATCTTATCTGTATTGTTCCAATTTTCAAAAGACAGAAAAAAAGAACCTACTATAATGGTTGCTGCATTTCATGCTGTCTGAGTCTCTTGTAGATCTTTCGACCGGACTGTTTGTTTGCTTTGTTTTACTTTGTATTACATGGCTGTGATTGTATTGACTCACTATGCGAGTTATGTTTGTTGACATTTATTTATGCAGAAAGTGACAGAGCAGCTTCTGTTCTATGCAGTCCAGGTACAGAGCCTCAAATGACCATGGAAAGCCTTTTTTTTTTTTTTTTCAAATGACCATGGAAAACCTTTTCTTTTTTTTTTTTTTTCAAATGACCATGGAAAGCCTTTTTTTTTTCTTTCAAATGGTATAATGGTTAGGAAAGTGAGTTTGACATACAAAGAGTGAAGCACACAGAGGTGTGAAGCACACGGTGACGTAAGCACACTGTCAAATCGTGACACGTAGTAGACATAGTACAAGTAACCAGGGGTTTCCACTTCACGTTCCGACAACCCCAAGAACCACCGTTCGTGCCGCTAATCTCCCCGTCGTGACGGTCAGCCCGTCACTGCGGGAACCCAAGAGGGGAAACTAGACGATCTCTACGTATTTATGGAAAGGACACAGCAAAACTCTCGGTCAGGCTCCCTCGAGACACGAGAGGGTCCATCCTATTACCGAAAAACAATCATGCATCAAAATAAAGTCTCAGCCTCCAGGGAACCGGGTCAGAAATCCGGTAGATTACAGGCCCACGCATCCTAGTGACGTCTAGGTACTTGAAAAATCGAAAAAGTGAATGCTGCAACCCTACACAGAGCCCCGGGAGGCCTGAAGACTTCAGAGCTGACTACCATCATATACGAGGTTAACAGTTCGAAACCCAAACTCAAAACAACGACAGAGATCAAAAGTTAATCTACAGCAAAACAAACCAAACAGATCAAGGCCAATTTACCCAATCCTCAGGACCCTGTCCAAATACAAAGACAAAGCTCTCAGTTACAAATGAACTCCATGGTTCTATGCCAGAACGCATCGCGGCGACTGCCAAATCTCCGGAACACACGGTTAATGAACCGTAAAGGGAAGTCTTTCTTCAAAAGCTCCTGTTGAAGACCCAAAACTTTGATGGGGATCTCAGTTCGAATGGACGTGTTCTGATCGATGCGATGAAGGTGACTACCAATCACTGCGCTCTTCTGTTTCTTACTCCCCCAGGAGTGAAAAGATTGTCCATTCTGAATGAGCAAACGGTCATTTGACCAGATCCTTGCTTCTTCTTCTTCTTCTTCTTTTTTTTTTTTTTTTTTTTTTTTTTTTTTTTTTTAATAAGGCCCTTGCGCAAGACCTCTATCCTGGTGGTCATTTTTGGAGAGCTGAACACATCCAACGTATGGGAAGTTTTGATCGGTTCTGATCAAACAACCCAAAAATTCCAAGGTACCCGAGCCATCATCGGTTCTTTTCAATGTCAGGTTCTTGGGATAGCAATTGCTGAGTGCGTCGAAAATCCGGAGTCTCAGTTCTTCCTGTCTGCTGGAAATAACCAGCAACACATCATCGATCAGTCGTAATGCGCCAAAGCATCTGTTAGCGCTGCCCAAAGTACATATCATTTGGTATTGGGAATACGCGCACATAATGCACGCAATCGGTGGGCTCATGCTTTTGCCCATTGGTACACCAACTTCCTGCTTCAACAGTACTCCGGTAGCAAAACAGTAAGTGTGTTCTACTTCCATATGGACAAACTTTCGAACATCCAACAAGTTCAGACGTTTCCAGTGATCAGCCCCAGTAGTGGCCCCAAAGGATGAACCCTTGCCTCTGGTATTGACTCGTACAAAGGCAAATCCCTTACCACTAAAATGGTCAATGATCCAGTCGATGGAGTTCAGCAAAACCGAATGAGGTAACTTGCTGAACATTTCCTTGACGTCAAAAGAATAAGAACTTTCAAATGACCATGGAAAACCTTTTTTTTTTTTTTTTCAAATGACCATGGAAAGCCTTGTTTTGCACAAGTTAACAAAAAAAGGAAAGTGAAGGTGCCCCGCCAGGTCCCAGGAAGCCCCTGCATTTAAAAAATAAAATTGTTGTGTGACTTGTGTCGAATGGCAGCGTGAACAACTTTTGGCTGAAGGTCAGCTCACAATTCCTTAGTGAACCACCACTACCTCCAAGCCTCTTTTGCTGAGAAAGATTTCCCCTGCGCCCCAAGATTTGCCGAAAGGCCAGCGCGGTGTTCTTCTTTTTCCTTTTGGCTGGTGCTGCCAACCATTTTGGTCCAGTAGCACTGTTCATTCGAAGTCTTGGGAATGTCACTAGGAAGATTCTCATGCCCGGCTGGTCCTGCCTGGCCGGGCACCCCGCCCGGGGTACCCGGGCGTGTAAAACGAAACAAAAAAAAAAAGATTTTTTGTTTTTTTTGTTTTTGGTTTTCTGTGCTCTCCCAGAGGACCCCAAATCCGGGTTCATTTCTTTTTTTGCGAATTGGCTGTCAAGGGGGGGGGAAGGGGGGTATAAATTGGTTGTAAAGGAGCTAAAGGGGTTTGAATTATGGGGGGTGCCTTAGTGTGATTCTGTTATTTTCTTTTTTATCTCCGATTCTGTAAGGAATTCTAATGTGACCCTCAGCCAAAAGTGGTTTAAATTGCAATTCTACACAACATATTTCTTTACCGGATTTTTTTAATTAAAAAAAACTGGCGCTGGGGCTGCCCGGAACCCTGCCTGGGGGTCATGCCCGGCCGGGCACCCGGGTGTGTACCCGGGCATAAGTTGGGTGCCCAGGCGCCCGGAAAAACAGCCTAGGAATGTCACACTTTTTATTCTCGACGGTGACTGGGAAAGGGAGTGGTGGTTTAATTTGAAGATGAAGTTGATAAGCACAAAATTCCAAAAAAAAAAAAAAAAAAAGGTCAAGCTTAGGCACACCCTTTTAAACCAAGGCTGAATATCCGGTCCCACCAGGGCCCCCTTCCCCCACCAGAACCGGGCCGGTGGTACCGGCCGGTGGAGAGCACCGGTTTCCGGTTGGTTGCAAATTGCGCAATCCGCTGGCGGGCGGGGTTCAATTCTTTTGGGGGCCAGGAGGCCTCCATGCAGGTCGTGGAGGCCTCCCGCCCCCCCCAAAAAAAATCAACCGGGTCCGGTAGGCCCGCCAGATTATTGAAAAACTGGCGGCCTATTTGGGCCGTCGATCTGGTGAGATCGGCGGCCCAGATAGGCTGCCCGTTTTTGAACATTCGGGCGGGAAACCACCCGAAGTTCTTGGCAGCGATCCAAACCTTCCCCAGGCACAGCCCCCACCCCCCGCCTCCTGCCTCCAGCTGCTTTCAAGCAGCAGGACCCGTCACTTCGACACTTCGTCGAAAGTGAATGAGGTCGAGACTGTGTCAACCCCCCCACGTCCGCCCCGGCCTCGGATCACCATCGCCCCACCCCATCGTCTATGGGTAAAGGTAAGTCTTCCTTTGTTGTTCTCTGTTTCTTCTTCTTCGTACTATCTTCTTCTTCTTCTTCTTCTTCTTCTTCTTCTTCTTACTATCTTCTTCTTCTTCTTCTTCTGGCAAAGCCGAAGTCGGAAGTTTGCAAAGTAGAGAGAGAGAGAGAGAGAGAGAGAGAGAGAGAGAGAGAGAGAGAGAGAGAGAGAGAGCAAAGTAGTGGGCACGTGCGGGCGGTAGCAGGCGCACGCGCGCGGAGAGGGAGAGAGAGAGAGAGAGCAAAGTAGTGGGCGCGCACGGAGGGTAGCGGGCGCGTGGGTGACGATATGGACAGTGGATGATGATGATGAAGACTGTCTCTTATACACATCTAGATGTGTATAAGAGACAGGGTGATGATGATGATGATGATGATGATGATGATGATGATGATGATAAGGATGACGATGATGACGATGATGACGATGATGATGATGATGATGATGATGATGATGATGATGATGAGGAGGAGGAGGAGGAGGAGGACACCCCGAAATGCAGCCCACCCTCAACCCATGAATTTCCACCCCCCCCAACCCCCAAACCCCATGAAAAAAAAAAATTGCATATCAATATTTCTCTGCGGATTCGGGGAGATCTCGACAAGCGCAGTCCAACTCCATCATTGAAAAAAAAAAAAAAAAAAAAAAAGGCCCAACCGGAATTCCGGTTGGACCACCGGGGTTCCAACCGGCCCGGTTGGGTCTGGTCTGGTCCAACCGGCCGGTGGCCGGTGCAGCCCTGTTTTAAACCTCATTTATACCGTCCTTCCCGCCCCCCCACCTCCCCCCGTCACCTGCCCCTCATACTAACTGACCACACTGAAAAAGAGCCTGTATTTATTTGACACAGCACTAAAAGGAGCCTGCGTTCGGGCTGATCTTGGTGGGTGAGGAAACACCCCTCCCCAAACAGTCCAAGAGAAGGAAAAATTAAAAAAACCTCAGGTTTCCTTAGTAGCCCGGCATGGTCCAGGCGAGTCCCTGTCCAGGCATCCCATTTCTTTTGCTTCTATGCCTTGCTTTGTCTTTGGTTGATCATCTCTTTGGCCTCTGCTGCTCTGAGGCTGTCCAGGGCAAAAAGAAAAGAACTTCAGAAAAAAGTTTCCGCTGAGCAGAAGAGAAGAAGGTATCAAACTAAACCAAAGTGATCTAATAAAGGGGAAAAGAACAAAAAAAACAGAATGCATAGGTATGATTCTACATGCCCGCCCGGTGTTGTGTTCGCTTGGGATGCTGAGACATTATGTTCTGGGGAATATGGTAGTCTAGGTGAGACGAGGACGGAGGGGTGGACGTGCTCTCTCAATGCCAGCGTGCATTGTCTTGATTGCTTTGAAGATTTGCTTCCCGGCTGCTAATGCATTGTGGTATGATGTCTGCCCTTTTCTTCGTTTGTTCCACGAAGTACACTCTTTCTTAGCCGGTAGATAATGTGACAATGCATCTCCTCTCATAAGACACAGGCTCACTTCAATGTGATTGTGTTGCTTGTATTGTGTGTTTGGTGATCGGAACAGGATCGAAATGGTCACGATAACATCAGCATTGTCATCATTGATCTCGGGTAAGTGTTTTGGACCTTTTGTATTTTCTCTTGAAATCTCCTCCTCCTCTTCTTCTTCTTCTTCTTCTTCTTCTCTTGTTGTTGTTGTTGTTGTTGTTGTTGTTGTTGTTGTGGTTGGCGTGGTGTTCTTGGTTGTTGGTTGTTGTTGGTTGATGGGTGTTGTTGGTTGTTGTTGTTGTTGTTGTTGTTGTTGTTGTCGTCGCCGTCATCGTCATCGTCATCATCATCGTCGTCTTCATAGTTGTTGTGGCTGTCATCGTTGTTGTTGGTGGTGGGGGGGGGGCTGCTGTCGTTCTGTTGTTGGTGGTGGTGGTGGGGTGTTGGTGTTGGTGTTGGTGTTGGTGTTGGTGGTGCTGTGGGTGTTGTTGGTGGTGGTTGTGTTGGTGGTGTTGGTGGTTGTGATCATCGTGGTTGTCATGGTTGTTGTGTTTGTCGTTGTTGGTTGTTGTGGTTGTTATTGTTGTTGGTGGTGGGGGTGGGGGTGTTGTTGTTGTTGTTCGGGGTGGTGGTGGTGGGGGTCGTTGTCGTCATCGTCGTCGTTGTGGTTGTTGCGGTTCTTGTTGTTGATGTTGTTGTTTTTGTTGGGTTAGTCCGTAACACTATATTGTAGCTGTTATTGTATCCATCAGATTCAATCAGGATTCAAACTCATGACCTGTTGATTAACAGTTTCATGTGTGGCATTGGGAGCACCAATCAGCAGCAACCTGTTGATTAACAGCTCCATTGTACTGTCTGCGCACTCCAATCTTCGAGCGCATGACTTTTTTATCAACAGTTCCATGTGTGGCATTCTGTGCACTGCGTTCCCTGTTGATTAACAGCTCCCATTGTAC